GTCAGTCATACATATTAAGAATGATGTGAGTAAATGATGCCAGAATTACAATTTTTGGGTGAAATATCCCTTTAAGCCAGGCAAATTAAATTGATTTCAAATCATAAACATTTTACATAAAGCTTCAACCAACAGCCATCAATAACCTAGTTATGAATAAATGTCTCAACTCGCACAGGTCCATGTCTACAGTGCTCATACAACATCAAATCTATAGTCCCATAGTTCTTAACAGAATAAACGTGGATAACAGTTACCTGTTTTTTCAAAGTGTAACAACAGAGGTTGATTCAGTGCATGGTTGACAACAGTACGCTAGAGGGTAAAACAGCTTTCGCTGTGTGGATGGGTGCAGTGTAATCTCATGGGACATTGTGAGTTCCCCTGGGCCGACCGTGTGTCTCTGCTCATCTACCTCAGTGTGAAACAATCCTCCATGGCAATATTTCAGATGTGGAAAAACATGAACTAAAATTGCATTTTCTGCTCAAGGCTAAAACCGATACTTATCTATCTAGATTAGAGTTTATGCAGTGCATGAGATAATGTGGATTTTGATTGATTTTCTTATGGAGATTATGAGTCAGAAGCTGAAATGCGCCCAGAGTATTGGCACTGCATGTTGAAGACTGTCAGAGGCCATCAGCTACCACTAGTACACCACTACATGACAGCACAACATCATAAAAAAACAACAGACCATCTCAACAGTTGCTCAGATTATGGGTCAACATGACAGCCTGTCACCTCACAAAGCAACAAAACAAACAGGTTAACCCACGAAACACTGGATAAACTGCATTTAGTTCAACAACCCACCACAGAGAATATCAGAACATGGAGAAACATGAAAAATCACTGCTACTTAAGAGTTTAGGTGATCATACTCTGCGTTTACTCCAAAGTGATTTACATACAAATAAGTGTAAAAGACGAAATGCTTTTGAACATGTTTATATAATAAAAAAAAAAGCCCGGAGTCCAACAATTTGAATTCCCTAAAGTAATTTAAAGCACTGTGGAGAGGTCTGAACGACACCTCTGAAATGGAGTAAAACATTTCGCACCTCTAGATATGAAAATATGAGCTCACTTCACCCACATTCGCCAGCGCTCAGATTGTGGTCAAATGAATTCAGAAAACTGTTTAACATCTTGCAACATTTTTTTCATTCTGAGTAAATTAGTTCAGCGTTTCCATTTCGTAGAGGCAGCAGAAATGAGACTCGAGCGAAAAATACTCTGCCAAGATGAGTCATGTGTCATGTTGCAGAATTCATAGACAAGAAAAAATAGAGGTATATTTCTCTCTGCATTATCTCTTTCCCTCAGATCATCTATTCACACGTTGTCTTCTCTTGCGGTGCTGGAGGGTGTTTCAAATTTGTACCTCTGTGACATTTAACCTCACATAAAGCAAAGCGAAAATGAACTCGCTATTTAAGTTAGCCTGCAGCAGAACCTACATTAATGAGACCAAAGATAAAATAAAATAAAAATAAAATAAAATAAGAAAGCTCATCTCCGGGCATTGTCACATATCTTCCAGTCCTCTGTTGTCTGCGAGCATGGCTGTCATGGCTTCATACAAGCAGAAATATGTCTATTCCCACTTTAAAACAATGCACATGATCACCATCTGCCAGCACACATCACAGTCATGGGGGAGGCATATATCTAAAACAAGTATGTGGATTGTATTTGTTGTTCCTTTGATTCTAATGTTTCTAGGAGGCATTTTAATGTTGCATGTAAACCAAACTGACATTCAATCCTCACCATCCCAACCAAAAACACACAAAGAGCCATTTGCACTCAAACAATGATCAGTATGAATATGTATGAACATCTTATTATGCCCTCGGGCACCATATCGCCCAATAACAACAGGTCAGCAAACCGTCTGAGACCAGAACGTGATGATAATCGGTGAGTGGGTAAACATATTTATACAAACACACGCAGACCAGATAAATCAAACCCTCACTGACCTCTCATAGCAAATATGCACCTGAAAGTGCATTCAAACCTGTCACTAAGCATTGTGAATTCCTGACATGCATGAGTTCTTTTTTCGGCATGCTAAATGAGCTCAGTGACCCGATACCCTTGTCAAATCATCAGTGGGGGCAATACAAGACCCTCACAGGGCATCGGTGAAGCAAAAACGAGGCGTATGAGGTCTACGTCGAGGGTTTTATCTCATCAAAAATTACAGGAAGTGAGCCCTCTGTCCTCCTCCACGTCCCCTGAGAGCGTTCATCTCTCGCCCTGTAAATGGGTCACTCAGAAACAGTCAACGTGAGCCGTGAATCGCAACTACATTAGTTACACAAGCTTCAGTCTGGATCCAGAACACCTGAGAAGAGATGATGCCAACCCCTCAGAGGACCTCAGATGATGCCAACCCTGAAACAACATACAGAACTACCACATTTTGCTATAAGTTTGATTGCATCATATAATAATTGCTGTTAATAGTGTTCATCGTCTGTTTTATTATGTCTTAAATTGATTTTTCCGTACTGCTGGTTCGTCTGGTCAGAGGAGAACTGGCCCCCCGACTGAGCCTGGTTTCTCCCAAGGTTTTTTCTCCATTCTGTCACCGATGGAGTTTTGGTTCCTTGCCGCTGTCGCCTCTGGCTTGCTTAGTTGGGGACACTTCATTTCCAGCGATACCGTTGACTTGATTGCAAAGATACTATTTAAACTGAGCTGGATGTTGACATCACTGAATTCAATGATGAACTGTCTTTAACTGAAAAATTTGTGTTTACTATTGTCATTTTGCATTATTGACACTATTTTCCTAATTAATGCTGTTCAGTTGCTTTGACACAATCTGTATTGTTAAAAGCGCTATATAAATAAAGGTGACTTGACTTGACTTGACATTGACTAGATTTAATTAGCTCTTACACTGAAGAAACAACTTCTGATTAAATATGAATATCACAGCATGTGAACTCGAGCTGCGAACACATTTCCTGTGTTGAATGTGCTGAGCGATCCTGGAAATTTGCTCAGTTGATTTATTAAGAATTTATAAAATTGTAGTGTCTGATAAGTTAGTGTCAAGGTTTTCCTCATACACTCTAAAAAATGCTGGGTTGTTTCAACCCAACTTTGGGTCAAATATGGACTAACCCAACTTTTGGGTTAAAAATTTAATGTAAAAATTTAACCCAACGGTTGGGTTAGTCCATATTTGACCCAATGTTGGGTTGAAACAACCCAGCATTTTTTAGAGTGTACAGCACACTCCAGAAGAAAAACACACTTTGTAAACTTTGTCCAAACTGCATTAGTATTAAAGGAATGTTCTGGATTCTATACAAGTTCTCTTTCCACAGAAAATATTTTTCGACTTGTTCATCAGCAAATAAAAACAAATATGATAGCTTATATATTTACAGCAATGGATTTCACAGTGGTCAGTTTGTAGGAGAGGGCATTACACTGTAGGATCGACATAAAAAAAATGTTTTTTGAAAGTGTAACCAAAAAAATTAAACATATTCATGCCAACATGAGATTACATTAATTTGAAAGTTATATTGAATATTTCAAATTCTAACATAACCATTTAAAGAAGGTGTTTTGAAAAACAGACCTATTTATACATGTTTTTTTGATTATGGGCTATGGTGACAAAAGCTCCAAAAACTATGGCAGGGTTTTCACTCCTATTGACCAGAGAATTTGGGATAAGGACTCTTTAAAATAAGAAGTAATTTTACATGACAACAATACAAATGTAAAAATTATTTATATTTATGTTTGGGGTCAGTAATGTTTTTAAAATAATACTTTTATTCACGAAGGATGCATTAAATTGATCCAAAGTGACAGTTAAGGCATTTATAATGTTACCAAAGATTTCTTTGTGAAATAAATGCTGTTTTTAAAACCTTTCTATTCATAAAAGGATCCTGGAAAGAAATGTATCCCGTTTTCCACAAAAAGCACAAGCAGCACAACTGTTTTCAACATTGAAAATAATAAGAAATGTTTCTGGAGCAGCAAATCAGCATATTAGGATGATTTCTGAAGGATCATGTGACACTGAAGACTGAAGTAATGATGCTGAAAATTCAGCTTTGCATCACAGGAATAAGTGACATTTTGAAATATATTCAAATACAAAACAGTTATTTTAAATAGTTAAAAACATTTCACTATATTACTATTTTACTTAATATTTAATCAAATAAATGCAGTCTTCGTGAGCTTAAGAGACTTCTTTCAAAAACACTAAAAATCTTAACAGGTTAAATAACAGATTTTTGTACAGATTAATAAAAAAAAAAAAAACACTTTAATAAAAATACATGCCTTGCCCCTTAAATGTCCATTGCAAGAGCATTACTGTAAACAAATTTTTTTGGCTTGTTTTAAGGGACACATTAAAATAATAATCTGTGCTAATGGACAGTATTTATCAGATACTTTCAAGCTAAACCTGTTTTGAACCCAGAACATTCCTTTAATTAACCAGCTAGATGAACCATGTACTCCTCCATCTCCCCTGTCACATGCTACAGTGAGGCATCAGTGATTTGCCGCTATAAGAGTTGCTCTTTCCACGCATAACAATGCTCAATTTCACACGTGCATGGCTGTGAAAGTACAAAAACACACATACTCCCATTTCTGAAGTCTCGTGCAGAAGATCCTGTTTGTCAATCGTACAAAAAGTGCTAAACATGCTACCTCAGACGGGTGCTGTGGCAGCGTTGTGGATATGGCCCTAAGTTCCTCTTATTTTGCCAGAAAATTACCCTGCTTTGATACTGAAAAATGCTGTACAGTTCAAAGGCGCCTGGAGTGTTGCGTGTGCCTGTCTGTGTAGGTCTGCACATCCATCGATCTATATATATATATACTAATATATTTATAATTATATATATTAATAAATATATGTATTAATACATTGCTATATTTAATATAGTTAGATGAATGATATATTTATGTATTTTTTGCTTGTCTTAGATCTCCAGTCCAAAACTCTTCTGTCCAGGGGTGTGGAACGCTGTCCAAGCTCCAGTAGATTTTCTCCACTATTCAAAGTATAAAGCTGATGCGTCCTCTGAGGGGAAAGTCTGTGAATATTTGTCGGAGACATACACGTCAGCTTGACGTCAGTATGCTCGTGTGTGTTTGCAGAGCTTACACTCCGGAAAGTACAGCATGTGAGGATTTGTGTAGTTGTTCATTAGTGTGTGTATGTGTGTGTCAGACTGTCTCTTTCAAACAGAGGGCTTCCACGGCGTTGCTGGGACCCTGGGACACCCCTCCGATGAGGAACAGCATGTTGGGGGTCTGAATGGAGGCACAGGAGCAGCGAGGGCTAGGTAAGGGAGCCACGGGTTCCCATCTCCTCTTCAGTTGGTTATAACTCTCCACTGACGCCAGTGGGGATGGCTGGTTACCTGAAAGCACACGAAACAAAGCACTGTCACAAATATACAAAAACCCAGAGATATGTACTGAAGTTTCAAAATTGTGTAGCAAATGCATGACAATTCGAATTTATCAGTGGCTTACACTGATATTAACCATGAAATATTTTAAATGTTGCCTTTTCATTTAATACAACCGTAGACTATGTATCCTAGCTGTGAAGTCATCTATATGCTAGTGCAGAGGTTTTCAAACTGGGGTCACTATGGAGTGTTTAAGGGTCCACTGTTTTTTTTTAATTAATTTTTTTTAATAAAATGTATTTTTATGGCAGTTAAAGTTAATATGTTAATATGTAATATTAAATAAGTTTTACATAGTATTATTATTATATATATATTTTTTTACATATTTCTTTAAATACTACCATTTCATCAAAACTGACATCACTACACACACACACACCTTTTTTATTTCTTATTAGAAAAAAAAACACATTTTCAACATTTAACAAATATTTTCAGATATAGTTATGAAAAAATATAATATAATATATATAATACTATATAATAGAAATGTAATCTAATCTAATCTAATCTAATAGAAATGGCTTTAGTAAAATGTCAATAATAAAAGCCAATTATTTAATTTCAGAAATTAAACATTTTACAAATTTTATTTGTAATTTCATTAGTGTCAAGATTTTCTGCATATAGCACATTTCAGAAAATAGTGTATATGAATATAAATATGTTTCATATATTTTTTTTAAATAATTTTTATACTTCTAATACTATATATTTATTATATAAACAAACAAAAAATGTAGCAGGTATGCGCATTAAAAACGAACAGTATTTCTCTTTTAAAAACATGCATTAAAAATACGGTTGACTCATCCTGTACTACACAGATTTTTATCCAATCAAATGCTCTCTCAAAATGTGAATACCACCTACATCTAACTAGCAAGTAGCAAATCATAATCCATGGCTGTGATGTAAAATATTGGCTATTTAAAAAAGGGGGGATAAACTCCTCAATATTTCCCACCTAAACTTTGTGATTTTCAAAGAAAAACACAGAAAACTGTGCCTGTCCAGAATGAAAGGTTAGTCAAATACAATAAACGAGTGTCCCAGTCCACATGTCAAAACCTAAAGAAAATATTTCCAGTTTTAGTATATCACACACAGGCAGGTGTGCAGGAAGCGCTGCACATTACACAGCCTCTCCAGCCATTCAATCAACACATCACCCTCTCACTGCACACACACACATTGCGGATGTTTCTTGCAGATGAAGCACTTGCCACCTGGTGGGTTTTGGGACTAAAGCAGGTTTGAACAGGTGGCAGCATGCAGATTTCTTCAAATTATGTAACTCGTACAGATTCTGTGGCTTCTGCTTGGAGAAACTTTTGCTCTGATGTTGCAAAATAAATAAATAAAAACAAAGTTTCGCTGATAAATTCTGGCACAAACACTACAGTCGCAGTGAACAGCGAACATTTTCTCATTTTCCCCGGGGTCAGTAAGACTAGGCTGGGTTTTTTTCACTCTTTTACCTTCAGCGCTGAGACCTACATCATCACATGGGACCTGCCGCTAAGTTTCCATGGTTACTCAAAACGAAACAAAGCACTGTCACAAATATACAAAAACCCAGAGATATGTACTGAAGTTTCAAAATTGTGTAGCAAATGCATGACAATTCGAATTTATCAGTGGCTTACACTGATATTAACCATGAAATATTTTAAATGTTGCCTTTTCATTTAATACAACCGTAGACTATGTATCCTAGCTGTGAAGTCATCTATATGCTAGTGCAGAGGTTTTCAAACTGGGGTCACTATGGAGTGTTTAAGGGTCCACTGTTTTTTTTTAATTAATTTTTTTTAATAAAATGTATTTTTATGGCAGTTAAAGTTAATATGTTAATATGTAATATTAAATAAGTTTTACATAGTATTATTATTATATATATATTTTTTTACATATTTCTTTAAATACTACCATTTCATCAAAACTGACATCACTACACACACACACACCTTTTTTATTTCTTATTAGAAAAAAAAACACATTTTCAACATTTAACAAATATTTTCAGATATAGTTATGAAAAAATATAATATAATATATATAATACTATATAATAGAAATGTAATCTAATCTAATCTAATCTAATAGAAATGGCTTTAGTAAAATGTCAATAATAAAAGCCAATTATTTAATTTCAGAAATTAAACATTTTACAAATTTTATTTGTAATTTCATTAGTGTCAAGATTTTCTGCATATAGCACATTTCAGAAAATAGTGTATATGAATATAAATATGTTTCATATATTTTTTTTAAATAATTTTTATACTTCTAATACTATATATTTATTATATAAACAAACAAAAAATGTAGCAGGTATGCGCATTAAAAACGAACAGTATTTCTCTTTTAAAAACATGCATTAAAAATACGGTTGACTCATCCTGTACTACACAGATTTTTATCCAATCAAATGCTCTCTCAAAATGTGAATACCACCTACATCTAACTAGCAAGTAGCAAATCATAATCCATGGCTGTGATGTAAAATATTGGCTATTTAAAAAAGGGGGGATAAACTCCTCAATATTTCCCACCTAAACTTTGTGATTTTCAAAGAAAAACACAGAAAACTGTGCCTGTCCAGAATGAAAGGTTAGTCAAATACAATAAACGAGTGTCCCAGTCCACATGTCAAAACCTAAAGAAAATATTTCCAGTTTTAGTATATCACACACAGGCAGGTGTGCAGGAAGCGCTGCACATTACACAGCCTCTCCAGCCATTCAATCAACACATCACCCTCTCACTGCACACACACACATTGCGGATGTTTCTTGCAGATGAAGCACTTGCCACCTGGTGGGTTTTGGGACTAAAGCAGGTTTGAACAGGTGGCAGCATGCAGATTTCTTCAAATTATGTAACTCGTACAGATTCTGTGGCTTCTGCTTGGAGAAACTTTTGCTCTGATGTTGCAAAATAAATAAATAAAAACAAAGTTTCGCTGATAAATTCTGGCACAAACACTACAGTCGCAGTGAACAGCGAACATTTTCTCATTTTCCCCGGGGTCAGTAAGACTAGGCTGGGTTTTTTTCACTCTTTTACCTTCAGCGCTGAGACCTACCTCATCACATGGGACCTGCCGCTAAGTTTCCATGGTTACTCAAATTGAAGTGCAGATGATATGAATGGACTGGTGCGGTGACTATTGTTATCATAATTTCCTGTTAGAACAAACACTATGGCGAATCCTCTTGCAGTAATCAAAAGTGTCACGTCGAGCTGTGCTCTGGCGCTGGCGTGGAGAGCTTGTGCGTGTTGCTACATATCCTCAGGCCCTTTGGTGTTCACACAAATACATATTTGTAAAAGCAGTTTTGTAGGAGCTGTTTTGCAAAGGTTAGATTCATCTGCGATTCTATCACATACTCTGATTCGTTTGTCCAGACAGTGTTGTAAATATCTATGTAAGTATCTATGTTCGTTGCTATAGTAACGACATGAACATCAACACAACGCCAAGAGTCTTTCACATGCTACAACTGAGAGCATTTGTCAGAGTGGAAAGTGATGGTGGAAAAACCTGAAGTTTTGTCTGTCATGACATCTTGCCACGGTGCCAAACTCAGAAGGCACATGAGAGAACATTAAGCAACTGAGGCATTTTACTCAGTCAAGCACAGAATGCACAAAACCATAGACTCATTCACTACATAGTGAATGCCACATCTCCAATATGGACCTAATAGCAGCCATTAATTCTAGAAAGACATGAGGAGCTACAGGGAATGGAGCATCTCCTCCACTTATGTCATTATTTCTCTATGTGTGCATAAGTCTGTATGGCCTTATGAGTTTCTAACAATGCCTGTTAAAAAAAAAGAACAGAGGAAAAAGACTAAAGCACTATGAAAGAGACACAAAAATAGCTCAGAAAATCACCAGATAAAAAGATGAACAGCAACAGCAGAGACACTAAAAACGAAGGGAGGAAAAAACACACCCGCAATGTGCACCGAGACAAGACATGAAGGGGGGACGGGGTAGAAAGAGGTGACAACAACTAAGAGAGGATAGAGCAAGCAGGTGAAGGAAGAAGTAGTGCTACACTAAAATGTGAATGTTCTCACGCAATGAATAATGGAGACGCTCACACACACACACACACACACACACAATCCTCCATTGGCTGCTGTGATGCCTGAAATTATGTCTATTTCTATACATAGGAAAAGATGAAATAAAAATGTGCCATGTTTAATCTGCAACGCTCTGCCCTAAATATCGTTTTTTGAGAAGACACTGAAATTTCTCGCCCACTCTTTGAGCTGACATTTATTAAAGAAATTTCTCTCTCTCCCTCTAGTAATGCAGCCACAGACAAACAGACTGGAAAAAAATAAGGCAGTATTTGAGACGGATATTCAGAGCTTTTTCATTGGAGCGTAAAGACCCAAATGAACAAATCATTTTGTTTGAAGACACGTCAGTCTAGGGAACAGGCTGTCGTTGAGTAACTCCACATATTCATTGTTTCATAATGAGGCTAAATGTGATTATTTGACTTTCCAATTAAAATTAAGTTCTGCTTATGAAGGGAATGCTGATCAAACTACACACTAAACAATCAGTGCAAATTATGCCGATCACTTCTTAAGGGTAGGTCGCATAGTTCGTAAAGTTGTTGAGATGTGGCCTGTAATTGTTGCAGATGGTGTACTGTGAGGTAGATTCTTGTTGCTAGGTGACATTAGTGCACAGTACTTACTCATGGCTGCACATAAAGACCTGACATAATGAATCCATTTGCTTGATATGGCATTTTATTATGAGGCCGTTTCTGCCGCAGGTTGTTCCGAAAAATCAGTCTTCGTGCTGTGCTTTGTAGATTTCTTTCAAGGTTTTCTAAGCTCAGTTGATCCTATTTGCATAATCTATTCAACATCAGCAGTTACTTACCGAGTCCCCCCGCAGCGATGACCCGTCCACCGAGACAGCCAGCTACGAAGTCTGCCCGCTTCTCTCTCATGCGACAGCTCCGCGTGGCTTTCAACCACACACCTGCACACAGGTGAAAAACACGCACCAGAGGTTAAAGGTCAGAGAGGTCAAGATCGCACCATGGGTATTATCGGTAAAACCAAAACCACATTTTCATGTAGTTTAGGAACTAAAATAACAAACTAAACATACTAAAATTAAACTAAAAATATATTGACATGTTTAAAAATACAACATCTAATAAAAAATAATACCAAAATTACACAGAACAACATTTTTAAAGGGGTCCTATTATGCTTTTTCACTTTTTTAATTTTAGTCAGATGGAGCAAGGGGCGTGGCAGTACTGAAACACCGTCTAAGCTGTTCGCCAATCACAACGCACTGGGACAGCTAACCAATCACAACACATTTTGTTTTTCGGAAGGCGGACCTTCATCAAAGCCGGAACTAATCGAGCTGTTTGTGCCAGGCTGGGGAGAAAGGTATTTTAACAATGTAAATGATGTGAAAAATAATGCGTTGTTCGAACCACCAAGCGTGAGAGCATGTTCTAGTACACCCCCAAAACAAAATCAAGACTTTGTAAAAGAGCATAATAGGACCCCTTTAAATTAAAATGGAAACAGAAAATATACAAATAAAATCTTAACAAAAGTTAAGTTCTTAACTTAATAAAATATTAACAAAAACTATAATAGTATAACAATGCCTGGTCCAGTTAGCCCTAGTCTCATGTAGCCAGACCTTCAGACTGACAGCAGAAGGTCTGGACTCCATAGCAGCTTTCATTGGCTGAGGACTGGCTGACATATAAAACAACCAATCACAGTTAGATTTGTTCCACGTGATGTTTAGGGGCGTGAAAATGTACATTTTCCCTACGATAACAGACAAATTCATCTAAATAAATTATTCATTCAAGAACATTGTTAAAGTTTACCGCAACAATGGTGCTGCGAAATTCACATACTTTTGAAAATCCAGCATTTAGTTGATCCTAATTGCTCATTGTCACAGTTTTAAACACAATAGATTTTTTTCCTCTATAAGGGGATTTGGCATCACATCAGCTTTGTTTCAAGACAGACTGTTAAAGAATGCGAAACGTCTCCTGGAAATCCTGTAGAATTAGATGATGACTTCCAAAATAAATAGTGAAATACACACTCACACACACACACACACACACACACACACACACACATATATATGATATAAAAGTCAGATGGCTTTTATGTCTCAGGTGTTTGCCTCAAAGGCTTTCATAGTTTCCATGTCCAATGATGGCAGATTTTAGATCATGAACTTTCAGGGAGTCCTGTGTTAGCCGAACAACTGTTGTTGAGATCCCTCCAGGTATTCTAGACTTCCTTGGGGTCTTCAAAAATCAATATAAAGCCCCAGAATATGTCTCTGATTCACTCAAATGTAACCAGATGGGGCATGTTGCTTGTGGTCATTTGTCAGCATGTGGGAACCAGCCAAAGTTGACATGGAAACCATAATTTACCACAATGACTGCAATGAAAGAAAACAAGTGAGAACTGAAAGTCAGAGCTGTTATTGTAAATAAGTGAAGTGACATGTGGCCAAGTATGGTGACCCATACTCGGAATTAGTGCTCTGCATTTAACCCATCCTAAGTGCACACACACAGCAGTGAACACACACACACTGTGAACACACACCCGGAGCAGTGGGCAGCCATTTATGCTGCGGCGCCCGGGGAGCAGTTGGGGGTTCGGTGCCTTGCTCAAGGGCACCTCAGTCGTGGTATTGAAGGTGGAAGAGAGCGCTGTACATTCACTCCCCCCACCTACAATCCCTGCCGGTACGAGACTCGAACCCACAACCTTTGGGTTACGAGTCCAACTCTCTAACCATTAGGCCACGACTTCCCCTGTTCTTAATGACTTGCCTGGTTAAATAAAGGGTTAAATGAAATGAAATAGAGAGAGTTCAGACTCACACACACACAATCAATCTGCCCTAAACTATACAGACGGCTTGATAGACAACTTTAGTGATGAACAAACAGCTGAGGAGGGCATATCTCTCTATTTTTGATTCCCTAACATGCCATGACCATGCAGTCTCCGGAAAGCAGTCTCCCTGTATGACACCATCTGCCTGGGAGCAAATTTATGCCCTCAGTTTTCTCAGACGTTCCCATACACAACGTCTTCACTCACTCTTTTTGACTCCACTGATTGTTTTGAGGGCACTTTAAAATCTGTTAACTCCATTTCCTTTCTTTGTTGTAACCTTCAGCCACCTGCCATCTCTTTCCACCATTGTGGTCTCCAAGCTCTTCAGCGTTATCCCAAATTTTCTCCCTGCTGTCAGCCTCACATAAAAGAATGCTATCTGTTTGAAAAATACTCTATAGGCCACTGTATCCCCACCCGCACACTCTTACTTGTCCTTATCGGACTTAATAGCCCTCTTGCTCAAGGTATCAAGGTCTCCTCATGAAGATAAGAAATACTCTGCTGTAACCCAATCTTGTCCTGACTGATGGCACAATCTGTGGAGCTGCTCTGAAATCTGTCTGAAGAGTGAATATCTTTCAGCACTTTTTGATTCTTTAATAGGGTCATAAGAAACCGAATTTTCCTTCATAGTCTGAAGCCAAAAGAGTTTAAATTACTTTAAAATATATACTGTAAGTTTCAGAAGTCAAAAGGTTTATTCTGGTCTTCAGATTCGATTGGCTAAAATGAGTGAATTTGAGTGCTAATACACAGTCCAGCAGCACTAGGACTTTTCACTGTATCTGTGTTTGTTCCAGACAGACTGACAGTCTGTGCATTTGTGGTGGGAGCTTTGCAACTTCTTCTGCAGGTTGCATCGCTACACCAGTATGTGGACACAAGCGACTGTCTTTATGATTGAGTCTGTGAGTTATTTAATTAAGCGATTCATTCAAACAAAGTGATTCACAGCAAATTCGTTTAAACACACTGATTCATTCAGGAACAAAACAAGTGAGTGTCTATATGAGTGAGTCATTGAATTATTTAGTCAGCTGTTTTGTTCAAAGAATTAATTCAGAAACAAAATCTACTTACTATCGTTAAACAGATTAATATATATTAACAGACCATTCCCTTTTATATGTCTTTTATACATCACATTTCATAGAGGAAATTTACATATAGATTTTAAAGGTACAACAGCACAAAACAGCCTCTTTAATTTAGAGAAGTTTCAGAGACAGTGAGAACAATGTTCATGAATATCCAAATTATGAAAATTTTGTAGCAGAAAATCTTATAGAACATTATAAGTAGACCTACGGGTGAACACATTAATACTGATAATAACACCAGTGGTGGTTCCTCATTTCATGTGGTGGATTATGCATTTTATGGACATTAATGTTAATGTAGAAGTTTCCTATATATTTATAATGGAATATATGACTCAGTACTCTGTACAGCACAACAGCAGGAACCAGACAAATAGGTTGAACACTACAGGGATTCAAATATTAATAATACATTGCTTCCTGCCAACTGTCAAATCAAAGATGCTGTTGTCTTGAATCGTCACCTCTGATAATAAAGCTCTGCATTTAAGCACATCCTCTCTAACAAAACTGATGTGCTGAGAAATACAGAGAAAGCAAGCAAAAGATCAAAGATATAAGCTGTCTCAACCTGTCTGCCTTTCTCTGCCTTCACACACACAGCAAGGCAAACTGTGGTAGTTAATGAAGTGTGGCGGCTCCAGCGTGACCGGTCAAGCTGTTTTTAGAAGAGAGAAAGGCATTGACTATCTCATTGGGTACAGGTAAGCTCATTGTATGAGATTACAGCACACTAAAAGGAGAATGAGGGAGAAGTACAGAGAAGAAAAGATTTGGATGAAGGCAAGAAAAGAGAAACGGTTAAGCAGGAACAATTTCCACCACCCCCCCCACCCCCACTGCCCCTTCTGAAACTACGAGATAAACTGGTTGAAATTGCCAGTGACTCCATGCTGACAGGAGTCTGAACGTTTGTTTCGCTCTCTCAATATGTATGAGATTCAAATGGAGCTGAATTAGGATCAGAGTTCACAGATAACACTCTGAAGATCTAAATCACTCAGACTGAAGAAATGCACTCAGAAATGCTCAAATCTGATGGTTTATGTATGCGTTTACAGTGATGGCTTCTCTTCATATATGATCTCTGAAATTCACATTTAATCTCAGATTCATCCATTATCATTTTAACAATTAGGTAAAGGGAACATTCCAGGCCATTGCTGGTCACGTCCTTTCCCTCCTTTATATACAGGTGCATCTCAATAAATTAGAATGTCGTGGAGTTGAGATAGTGAATTGGTGGGTTTTTGTTAAATGTGAGCCAAAATCATCACAATTAAAAGAACCAAAGACTTAAACTACTTCAGTCTGTGTGCATTGAATTTATTTAATACACGAGTTTCACAATTTGAGTTGAATTACTGAAATAAATGAACTTTTCTAATTTATTGAGATGCACCTGTATTGTAAAAGGTAATTTTTCTAGTCTAGTCTCTATTTATTTATTTTTCAGATTTTTAGGCAACCATATAAAGCAAAATGTGACCCTGGACCACAAAACCAGTCTTAATTCGCTGGGGTATATTTGTAGCAATAGCCAAAAATAAAAAACGTTTATAAATTGTAAAAAAAGTAAAGATCATGCTTCATGAAGATATTTTATAAATTTCCCACCGTAAATATATCAAAACTTAATTTTTGATTAGTAATATGCATTGCTAAGAACTTTATTTGGACAACTTTAAAGGTGATTTTCTATAGTGATTAGCATTCCCTTTGGTTGGGCACTTGGAACTTCGTTTATGTTGCTCTAATTTTCTTCCTGTTAATGCAGCAATGCATCCTGAAGTCAGAGTTATTTGATTTCAAGGGAAGAAAAGTAATAAATAGGTTGCTTTTAGAAGGTGACCTGTCTTCTAATTAAAGCATTAGTGTATTTTTTTTGTGTTTATTAATGAACTTTTTCAAATTTCATTTTTCATAAATACCTTGAGATGCTTTTAATTGGGTTTATATAATCCTT